CGTTCGGAATCCTACTCAGTCTTGTTTTTTTTAATTTTTTATTATAATTGGATTTTTAATAAATGTTCAATGTCGCTCAAAAATTTAACAAAACACTGAAGGTACAGTGATTCATCAATACATGTACATCAATTCCTAACACTTCCCACTTCTCCTCTTACCGTTTTCTATTAGTTTCATTAGTACATTGTCAACAGCTGAGTTAGTGAATGAGGTCAGTAATACACTAATTCCCGGGCAACTGGTATTTGTACAAGACAGGCAATAGCTGTCGTCTTTCCAGTCCCTAGCATACCCAAAACTAGAGAATAATCCTTAGCAGAAAGAGCCTAATAAGAGACAATATTTAATTGTACATTCACATGCATCTTTGCTGAGCTTACACTTTCAATGCATTGTCTTTGTTGCTTATTCAAAGTCGCTAGCAAAGACTCCTCACTTGATGACAGTATATTTACCTTTCCTTCACAGAACCTTGGCTCCCTCAAATCAATCACTAGCTCTCTTAATTGTTGATCCCTTAAAACAAATATTATTTAGTGAGTGTCCTTAGTATTAGTACTTATACTCACCTTTCACCATCAGAGGTACAAACTTCTGCTAAAGTTGACAGGATTAGAGTGCTAAATTAACCAGCAGTTTGATCAATAGTGTACGACTGACCAACAGAGACAGACCTGGGGAAATAATAATTTAGAGAAAGAGTAAAAATAGAAATTAAAAATAAGTACATGTAAATACATGTACATGTATGTCTTACTTGTCCAATGCTAGAACAATCGATTGCTCATTAATATTCATTATGTAACCCATAGCAACAGACCAATTAATATCATCATGACTAACAAGTATCCTGTCATACTGAATAAATGAGAACTAGAGATGGAGTGAGAGTAAAAATGGACACTGGAACTCACTTGGATTCATTTCCTTGCCTCAGGAAGGTTTGCTTCACTTTTAAATTACCACTAGACATTTCATTAAGAGCCTCAGGTCGGCAAGACAACAAATTATTGACACAACTGCCTTCCCTAACTCTGCAAAAAATAAATAATAATAATAATAATAATAATAATAATAATAATAATAATAATAATATGGTCTCAACAGTCTGAGGCGTTGCTTGATATTCGTGTTGTAAACACTGACGCCCAGTCATATGTGAACCAGTCTCCATCTAATGTACTGGCCAAAGCCGAAGAGAAGAAAGTGAAGTATTTGTCAGCATGTGAAGCAAGGAGAGCCTTATTCCCCCCGATATGTGTGTCAGTGGATGGTATGGTAGGGAGAGAAGCAAATGCCTTCTTGAAGAGATTGGGAGAAAGGCTATCAATGAAATGGGCGAGGCACTACAGTGAAGTCATCAACTGGATCAGGACTCGCTTAACATTTGCCATCATTCGAACCTCTATACTCTGTCTCCGTGGCTCCAGGACAAAATGGAGATCTGTTGATACCTGTGACAGAGCCCCTTTGGACCTTATAATGACTTAAATCCATAATTTAACTTTATCCTTATTAAATTATTATTTTTTTAATCTCTATCAACCTAATTATTTTTATTTCATTTTTCATCCTGCCCTAACTTTTTCCTAATAATAATAATAATAATAATAATAACAACAGCAATAATAATAATAAATGTACATGTAAATTCATTTTAGTATACAACTGCAATCCAATACCTATCACGAACTGTAGTCCGCCAGGTTGCCTCTTTGATTGACTCTGATTGCTCATAACTCATTTCTTCCATCACCAAACTCAATGACGATAGGAGCTAGTCAACACAGAGCGGACTCATTTGATCAAGCACCAACGGATAATGATCCCTGAAACCTGAAGACTCTGCCATATCATTCTCAAACACCCTGTAATATAAACAAAGGGTTAAAGTACATGTACATGTATGCACTGGCATGGCTGTGGCTTAACTGGCTTATAATTTTAACTAAAATTTCAATTAATAAAATGGAGAAAAAGTGAACCAAAGAAACTACAAAAAGACAACCTCTTTAACCAAAAGAGGGTTCCATAGTACCCATGGAACACCCCTGGTCAGCCACTGGATATGTACATGTACATTTGTTTTACAGAAAATTACATACATGTACATGATCTTATTATAAGTAATTTTTTGTGAATTAACCAACACATGCAGTGTTAACAATGTTGACAGGTAGTTTGTCTGGGATTAAAATTATTGATGCGTCACAAAAATAAAAAAATTAGACAACAGAAAATTGGGGCTATATGGTATACAATATGTTCATGCATAAAAGGTACATGTACATCTACGTGCATAAGCAATAAAGGAAACAAATTTCCTCTTGTCCCTCTCACTCTCTCTCTCTCTCCATTACTTGTGGTAAAGGCTATACTCTTTCAAGCGAGGACAGTGTTGACAGACTCTTGGGTTTCTAAGCATCTCTGGCAAGGTCACATGATCCCAGTGGTTGCCATGGTAACGAGCCAAATGATTCCTTGCTATCAACAAAGCTAAAAGAGAAAGAGGGAGTGAGAGAAAGAGGGAAGTACAATAATAAGCACTACATGTATATGTAAAGTATAGCAGGAAGTTTTCGAGTGACTAAATTTTAGCAAATTGCTAAAGTTGGTCGTTGGTGAATAAATTTAATTTGGCAAATTTGTGGCCATGTGCCATTGAGCATGCAAATAATATTTCAAAAATGGTAAATTTGAATTTTGGCAGTTGGCTATCAAAACAACATACATGTAGCTCACTCAAAATTTCCTGTTGTACAGTACATGCATTGTACATGTATTACATGTATATGCATGTACCTCTTATCTCATTGTCTCTGGCCAATACAGAGAGGGTCTCTTTCGATTTCATATAATACAATAGTCCAGCAGGTACAGTCTCCACATGACTGTCACACAGCATCAAACAATAGAGCAGCACCTGCAATATTAGCACATCCATTTATGGTAAAAGGGGCAGGGATTACTTGAGCCCGGTGCTGAATGACGCCATATTTGGCATTCATCTGTCCAGTCTTAACTTCCAGGGGAACCAAATGCTCAGTGGTTTGACGAGTAAAATCAGTAATCTGTAAAAATAAGTATTATATGTACTCTCTTTCTCTTTGGATCGCTCATACTTTTATTTTACAGTTGCATCAACTTTTCCTTTGAGTCCAAACCTACACATGTACATGTACATAATACATGTAAAAGATGAGACTTGACCTTACCTAGGAGACAATACGCTTTCCTCTATGTCTGTAACATCTGTGATACACATGCTAACCATTTCAGTTTCGGAATGAGGGAATCTGACAACAATGAATAACAGTGATAATAACAACAATAATGACAATACTGTGTTGCTGGTTCATTTTGTAGTCTCAAATTGTCATGTTTTGATTAATTTATGTATGTGGCTTATTTTTTCATGTTAATAAAATTTTGTTAATTTTAGTTGATTCAAAACTGCAAAAAATCAACTCGGCACAAAATAAACCAGCTATACAATGATAGTAAAGAGGCAATACTACATGTACATGAATCTTTTCCACTCAATCTTATTATTATTCGTGTAGGTAATATTTTGATACTGATTGCACCATGTAACTATGAGATTCACATGCTCAGCTAAACTCTCAGATAAATCACATTCAGTTAATCCTAATGATGAGAGGGAGAGAGAGAGAGAGAGAGAATTAAGGAGCATAGCTACATTTATAATTAAGTTTTAAATTAATGTCTTACAGTTCTTGCATAACTGATACATTGTTCACTAAAGAAGGTATCAATGATAGTACAAAGTCTCTGGTGACCACTGATGCATGCTGTGAAGCGGCTAGTATTGCCTGTTACTTAATAGTCACATGATAGTCATGTAATTAGTCTCACCTTTTGAAACATCTCGTGGAGTAACTTACCAACCAAAATAGCTTCTGTTTGAGAAGAACCTTTGAATAGATCCTCAAGGATAGATCTGGAAGGGAGATGTACAATGTACATGTAATTTCATGTATAACAAAATAGTATTTGTCAAAAATGGATAAGACGGTGATCTCAATTTTTCTGATACTGTGAGCCTCACAGTAGTGTGAGCTGATTCAAATAAAAATTAGATTTTCATATCAATTTTTTAAGTTGCTCAAAAAATTTGACAAAATTGTACATGTACACTACATGTAAATGTATGTCATTTTTACCTTCTGGTGCAAGTGATTCCATTACTAATGCTACTTACACAAACAAGATAATCTGGATTAATGATAATACATCTAGCATTATCATTACTGATGACAAAGCAATCCTGTGAAGGAGCATGAGATACAGATGCACTTAAAGTTGAGCAGCTGGGGACAATATGTATTATATCACCAATTCTGACATCAGACTGAATCCTAAAAGAAGAAACATGACTTTTAAACAATCAAATTTTCATTTACCAGTCGTCCCTGAGATAACATAAAGTCTTCCTTTCTTCCCCTCTCCCCTGCTCTTCCTCAGTAAATTTTAAAAATGGTACAAGATTTTAAGGGCTATCTGACTGTTTGTTCTTCCGTCGTTCTTGTCTCTGTATTTCTTCCTATTAACAGCCATTACTTCATATCTTGGTGGCAAAGTCAAATAAATATCATGAGGCATGTGTTCATCATCATCATAAATTCCACTGATGCATTTAAGCATCTCATCCCAATCAATATTATGGTCCAACAGACTAAAATCATTTGAGTCACTTTTAAATTCAGCTCCATCTATACTACTATACTATACTATACTATACTATATCTATACTATACTACTTTTGTCCTCTGTAATTTTCCTAATATTAGTTTCCTCTAAATTAGTCTTCACTTGATCAATGTCCTCCATTTCATTCGTCTCCTCCTCTTCTTCCATTAAGTCTCTCGCCATTATTTCATGTCCTCCTGTTCCACTTTTCCCAGCACATACATTTAAATTCAGGATACTTGTCTTGTTAACTTGAGAGTCCATGACATCATCATTAGAAGGGCAATGAAGTATATGGACAAAATGATGTGATGAGTCGACTGGGGGCTGTGTCTCTGTATTAGGAGGTAGTAATACTAGTCCAGGAATAGGTTTATCAGCATCAGGAATGTCCACTGGTATACATGTCCTTATCTCATCTGGATTGCATGTGCTGGCATGGTTTACCTCTACTTCAACTGGTCCAGTGTTAGTTTCAGTCCCTCCATTTGCTGAAGTACTGGAGAGGTTTTCATGCTGTTGGTACTGCTGAGGTATGGCCTTCGAAGGGAAGGCAGAATCATTCACAATCCTGGAAAGAGAGAAAGAGGAAATACATGTACAATGTATAGAGGCCAATCAGGCCATTTTAATAAAATTTAAATTCTCATTACTTTTCTATTTTTCTCTTCTTGCTTTTAAAGACGTCAGTGGATCCATGCTCACCTGATTCACTACAAACACTATCAGACACTACTTTTTGCTCTAATAAAAATAAAAGCAAAACGAGATATTTTCAGTATACATGTACAAGTGTAACAAAATATCTTTCAAAAACCCATGGGCAATATAAGTTAAAAAAATCTTTTCCACTTAAGAACTCTTATATAGCTAATTACATGCTCATCCGTTAAAGGAGTGTAATTAAATTCCTTGTGGCATAATATTACAATGACAGCATAAGACAGTCATGATATTACCATGTGGTTCCACATATACATGTAAAAGTCACTAATCAAGGATATACATGCTATATTCATTACAAAATAAATACATGTACATTCATTGCATATCATAATAAATTCATTGAATGTGAGTTTGCTAATGGCAGCAATGGAAAAATACTTTGTTCCAACTTCCAGGAAAGCACTTATGTCACTTAATAGCAATCTTTCAGGTGACTACTAGACCACATTTAATCCTCAAACTGCTTTCTAGGTTTGTGACACCAAAAAGGTAGTAAGACAAAAATGTGTTTCTATCAAACATGGTGGCCAATTTATGCACTTAGCAAGCATCATCCTTCTTTACTATTACATAATAATATGTTATCATTAAACTTTGACAAGTGGATACATGGATACCGGACAAAATTGTGTGCACAACTTTTCAGACCCTTCTCCTTGTACATGTAGGTGGGTTCAAATACTAATACTCTTGTAGGACTGACCACTAAGCAACAGTGAAGCTGCAAACATACTGTAAAATATATGTATCTATGAGCAATGCCTTGATCTGGTCACACCCCTTCAATGAGGCACATGGCCAGACTGATTTTCAAAATTTTTCTTCCTTCTCTTAATCCCACCATCTATGTACATGTAAATTCTTGCCATCACACATGGCAGCAAATTTAGCTGCACCCTACCCCTGTTAATTACATGAAAAAGATTACTAGTCTTCTTGTAAAAGTTAACAGAACCAACTTTTGTGCCAGCCTTGACTTAGCAGCTCATTATTGAGCTGTAGCCTTACTATCAGAAAGAGCAAGACTGTTTTAAGATCATAGGCGGCGGCAGGGTCGGGCATGGACGGGCAATGCCCTACCAAAAATTTTGACCGGAAATGAAAATTTAATTAATGACATCATTTTTAGTCATAAATAATTACCATGGCTAGCAATAGACAGTCTTTTCTGCTTTCCTTTGTCAACAAGCCTTCCAAGAGGACCAGGACTAGCACTTTACATGTTGGATAGAGCTTTACAGATAAGATAGGGGGCCATTTAGGCGCATTTTAATGCTATATCACGCCCAAAATACATACAAAGAAAGTAGGTGTGGTCAAAATCGCAGCGCGCTTCGCGCGCCATTTCTTGCCCACCTACTCCTCAAGTCCTGCCGCTGCCTATGTTTAAGATAAAATACACACATGGTTCCATTCCGGTACCAATTCACATGGCCACAGCCCACAAGTAGAAATATGACTAGCCTTTCAATAAATCAAATTTCTCAGGTTTGAATACACTTCTTCCCCTGTTACCTTTATCACAAATGGTATACTGACACTCACAGAAACTTCTTTTTTCGAAAGCTTGAGCTTCCTCATGCCACCATGTAGAGAAATCGCCACGTGTTACCTCGTGTCTTGTCCGTGATCTTCGTATACTTTTTGTTGGTTATCTCCGTAAATTATGAAGCAAACCAGTGAAACCACGCCCTTCTAGTTTACATTACGTTGGTGAATGGTGGATGCTGCTGATATGATTTTATGATTGTGACCAAAAATTAATGCACAGAATGAGTACAGAACAAGAAATAATAAGAATTGGTAAAGCTCTTGAGAAGATTGTGGGTGAAGACAATCCGGTAAGTACGGGGATGCGTGTTTCTTTCATTCGAAGGGGTTATTCTAATTAATGCGCACCCATTTTTTTCTATTAATTTTAGAATACAGAAAAAGCATTGGATCTTCTCAAATCTTTACAAGAAATGCCAATGACTCTTGATTTGTTACAGGTAATTCAGATTTGTTCATGTAACAACAGTATTATTGATGGGTGCCAAGGGGGGTATCACTCCCACGCAATGAAGAGTTGGGCCAGACTAGAGTAGTATTAATTATGGCAATGTAGGCTAGTGCTGGGTGATCGAAATTCATGATATTTAATCGATATAATGTGGCATCGATATTTATCAATATCAAAGAAAATCAAAGGAAATACATGGATTGATAACATGTCTGCGCCCACATAATGGTTACCTAACCTTAATACCAAGAGTGGATAATTATTTAGGGAGAGTGTCTAACCTGCCTATATTCTGTGATACCACAGCGTGTATGTTTACATCCGTTTTTTGCAAGTATACAGAGTTAATCTCAGGAATCTTCAAATTTATGGGTGTGGCTGATAAAATGGCGTTTGAAGCATGCAGGCAACTTTAAGACTTATATCTCCACTCTGAGGATCATGTAGTGCAAGAAACAAGCAGGAGCAGACTGGAATATGTTCTTCTAATGGTTGACTCTTTCTTATTTGCAGCCTTCTGACTTGGAATCAGTATAAGGACGTAAGAATGGCTACTTGGTGCTAATAACCATGCTATGTAAACTTAGGCACTGTGGTATCACAGATTATAGGCAGGTTAGACACTCTCCCTAAATAATTATCCACTCTTGTTAATACTGATTATAGTAGTAATATCTTGAAAATTACTAAACTGTACTTTTTTGGAAATCAGATGAAGTAGCTGAAGTATATCAAGTGAAAGAATGTTTGTATAATGCTTTTTAATAATAATTTTTCTCAGAATTAGCTTTACTTAATCGTTTTAGTAATATTAAAGTTAATGGGTGTTGCTTAATAACTTATCGATATCTTCATTTGTGGCAATTATCAAATTTATCATATCATATTGTATTGTTTCAAAATTTTCAATATTGCCCAGCACTAATGTAGGCCACTGAGTCAAAACTTTAATTTTCATGAATTATGAAGCTTCTGATGGTCACACCCACTAAGATACTTGCTACCGTACAGTGAGTAATTTTGGAGGAGAGAAATTTTGGCTAATTGGATGATTGATGGCTTTTAATCTGGTGAATCTGGGACTTTGTGCAATTATTGAGCATCCACGTAATGGTAGAAGTTTTAATTTGGTGAAAAGCTATTTATTCTCTCCAAAATTACCCGCTATGCGGTATTCTAAATAGTTAATAAAACTTATTCTACCATGCCACCTTGCGATTGACCAATCAGATTGCAGTATTGGAGGTCAATTATTTTTCATATTAACCTAGCTCATAAAAATATAAACCTATCTCGTTAAATAATTAATTGATTGGCAGTTTGGTGCTCTACGCTTATGCTCTTATTAGTCCATTTATCAAGTTTGGTTGATTCTTTACTGGCCTAGCCTGTTAGATAAGTTGTATGTATGTCAACTGTGGTCTTATTATCAGCAGCTGGTAGTTGTTTTTCAAGTGTCATGGTAGAAGTTGTTTATACACCTCGGTATCGGTTTCTATGGTATTTATTAACCTCGCGACTGCATCGGTTAATAAATACCATAGAAACCTCTACCTCAGTGTATAACCTATACTTATGAGCACGTGTTGGTGATAGTGTGCACATTTTCATTACTAAAAAGCCTTAGAATACACACATACATGTACATATCAATGCACACTTAGTTCATTTTATGTGATTATTTCTCAATGCCTTGGCTTTATTAATGCCGTATAAGTGGGTTTTTTTAAGGGAATTACATTTCACAAAATCTGCTAAAATTCCAATTTGCAGATTTTAATTTCGCAAATTCTACCACGTGTGCCATGCGGGTACTGTATTAAATTGATTTTTCCGGATTTTATTTTCGCAAATCAGGAGGAAATCCGCGAAATTCACGAAATTTGCAACCCTCGAAAAAAACCACTTATACAGTAATTTAATAATAATAATAATAATAATAATAACAGTAATTATTATTTATTACAATTTTTTACTCTCTATACCTACTTGTACTTAAACTTATTATGAATTCTGTATGTACAGTACATATACATGTACATGTAGATGTTCATTCATGCTATTGGATATATAATGTACATGTACTGTTACTACTGTACATGTACACATGTACACATACATGTACATGTACATGTATGTGTGCATTATACAGTGAAGTAGTTAATGAGTGAAATGCCAAATTGGTTATGTAGTATAATCTTATCTACATGTGTAATGTAACTGGTTACTGATTATGTTATACATAATGTCTTATTGTAGAAGTCACACGTTGGCCTGTCTGTTAACACCTTACGCAAGAAATGCAGTGACAGTGAAGTGTCTGGTGTTGGTAAGAAGCTAATTAAACAATGGAAGAAACTTTTATCAGGTACATGTACATGTACATTGTGTATATGCAATGACATTAATAATATTTACAATCTATTTTATATTTACTTGTAGCTGATTCACCTAAATCTTCTACTTCTGAGAGAAGGCGTTCATCAGATCAATCTTCTCCTCCTCCGGTTGTGTATAATCCTCAAAACTCATCCGCCCAACCGACTAGCAATGGTAGTACCACTCCAACATCCTCTACTATGCCAGTCCCAGAGTTCTCATTATCAATTGATGGATCGTCTCGTGTGCCTCCAACTAGTAATGCTGTCCGTAACACTTGTCGTGATATGGTTTATAAAGCAATGAAGAAAGGACTCAATGAAGGTAAGATTGTACTTGTACATGTGTACATGTATATCAAGAATGAAAGTATGGGGGTAGACTGATGTTAGAATGATGTGAATGCATTAAGAGAGAGGTGATGCATGTACATGTACATGTACACATGTATATTATGGGAAAGTTTAAAATGAAAGTATGAGAATAGAATAATGTGAACTGATTTTAGAATGAGAAATGCAGTGGACAATAGACATAGAGAGAGGTTATATAATGTATTACATGTACATGTTTCTTTCTTTTAGTTAATATTGAAGATGATACACGTCTATATAACTTAAGTGCTGCAATTGAAGATCATATCCTCTACTTATTACAAAATGTACATGTACATGTATATTAATTAATGAGTGTTTTTACCTTAACTATTTCTTACAAATATTTTCTGAGTTTAAAGATACAAATATGAAATATAAGAACAGAGTGAGGAGTAGAGTCTCTAATATTGGTGATTTGAAAAACCCTGGGCTGAAGCAGAAAATTATATCAGGGGAAATCTCACCAGCCAGGATTGCTAAAATGTCAACTGAAGTCAGTTCTTTAGTGTGTGCCTATTATGTGTCACTTTTTAACTACATGTACTTGTATATACAAGTACTGTACATACATGTACCGTAAAAGGAGAATTTTTCGTCCTATATAAACTTTCGTTGATAGGCTCATCCAAAAAATTATTTTAGAATAAAATTTATACAAAACGTATAAATACAACAACAAAATTTTATAATACAAGAATAATTAAAGCTACGGTAGAAAAGGACGGGGTCAGTAGTAGTATAAAAATGTCTATCACACAGCACTTTAAGCAGGTTCCTCCTAGTCCTGGTGGTTATCTTTCAGCTGAAATTGATCCTCAAGGCAATACAGGTAATAGATCCTCCTCTCCTCAAGAAAAGAGAGCATATCTTTGATACTTTCCTAAGAAGATAGCCTATCACAGTACTGCCCTTTACTATACAGCTACAGCATATCTGTCTTGTGAATTTATTGGCTCTCTCATACAGTTAATTTCCTCTCCAACAACTGGTGTCCATATATTGTGATAAATGTTTTATCCTCAAACGCACGGCTCTACTTCATAGTCCTCCATTATCTTTGATTCCTCGTGCTTCACAAATTTTTATGGGTGGAAATAATCAAGTTTATTAATTATTAATTTTTAATAATTTTTGTGGGCAGAGAGCAACAACGAATTATTTTCAACATGATTTTTTATCACACAACTATTTATACAAGTGAAAATTTCCCCTTTTACGGTATATTTATAATTTCAATTTCCACTAGGAGATGGCCAGTGAAGACATGAAGAAGCTAAGGCAGGAGTATACCAAGGAGGCCATCAGAGACTCACAAATGGCAGTTACTCAAGGAACCAAATCAGATTTGCTTAAATGCGGCAAGTGTGGAAAAAGGAACTGTAGCTACAATCAAGTGAGTATTTCTATGGCCATAATATTATTATTAATATTATATTAATCATAATTTTATTAGATGCAAACAAGAAGTGCAGATGAGCCAATGACTACTTTTGTATTGTGTAACGAATGTGGCCATAGATGGAAGGTTAGTTTGACTTGTACATGTACATGTACATGTACATTACACAGCTAATTCTGTCTGTTATTGGTCTAGCAAAAATAACCTTTTGTATATGTAAATCTACATACAGTACATGTACATGTGTAGTTCTCTTCTATTGCCTCAATTGTAGGAATCACACCGACTAAAGTTTTTGATAACTGTTGTAGTTTTGTTTTATGTAGCCAACCTAAAACTTGTTGAGTAGCAAACAGTCATTTCCATATTAGGCTTTACATGTACAGTATATGTACACGCACCTATTGTAGCATTTTTAGCCTAAAGTGTAAAGTGTACAAGACTGCTTAATCCTTAATTAGATTTTAGCAGTAGCTATTGCTACCTTCTACCTTATATGCATGTACATCTACATGTATATTAAGTGATTTTTTAGCTGTATTTCATTTTGTAGTTAAGAAAATCCAGCACACACACACACATACACATACGCAGGGTTTCCCATAAAATTTTGGTACAATTCTTATGCAGCTTTGATTTGTCGGTGGATTGTCAAAGTTGCTCCAAAATTTTGCCCAAAGACCCTGATAATTTTGACAGATTCTGATTATTTTGATGTATGGTCTGATGTATGGTTTATTTTGACAATAATCACAGGGAGAGAATTCTTCATTTTAATATTTTTTCTGATACATATACATGTTCTTATGCTGTGTATCAACTTTGAGCCGATTCTGATCCAATTTGGATTTTTTTCGAATTTTATAAGTTGCCCAAAAATTTGGGCCAAAGTTTATGTACTGTACTACTACAGGGCTTTGACCAAATTTTGTCAAAAATGAAAAGTAGAAAATTCTCCATTTTTATAATTTTTCCTGTGACTGTGTAGAAAGTTTGAACTGCATGATTCTGATCAATTTTAGATTTTTTTATGAATTTTAAAAGTGGCTCCAAATGCCATGTACTGTATTGTAGTACATGTACTTGTCAGCTCATGAAGCTCATTTTAGCACACTTAGCATGCTTTTTGGGAAACCCTGTGAACACATGTTCAGCACACCTCTTCAAATAATAACTGAACTTATAATGGGCTTATAAATTCATGAAGTTTTATCATCTCAAAAATTACAATGTGTACTTTACATGTACATGTACATTGTGTTTCACATACGATTATTTGATGTACAATGCAATTTGTTGCTTTTAAAAGTGACGTACCATATAGCGGGTGAATTTGGAGGGGATTAAATTTGGTGAATTTGGCGTTTTGATAGTCATTCGCCAAATTAAAACCTGCCAATCACCAAAATTTAGCAATTCACCAAAATTTAGCCTCTCCAAATTTACTCGCTATATGGTATTGGCATTTTTAAGACATTATTTTAACCTGAAATAGCATATTGCCCTGAAGTTACATATTATGTATATGAATAATTATTGTCTTTTCTATCCCTTTAGTTCTGTTGATGTCGCTAGTTTATGCCAGATGTATGTGAGCAGTTTCATCATAATAATTATTGACTCATTTTTGTAAACTTTGACAGAACGCACAATTCACTGTGACACTCAAGCAATATTGATTTTCTCACAAAAATTTATTGTTCATTAAATTGCAGACGAGACATTTGCACCATGTATACATTTAGCTTAGTCTAGACTTGCTGGAATCCTTATTATGGTAATGTACATCTAGATATAAACTATCAAATTGATTAGGTTGTCTATTTTTATACGGGTCAGCAATAGTGAGGCGGGGCTGAGCATAGCAATTCAGTATAAATTGTTATTGGTCTAATAAAGCAAAGGCTAGCCCAGTCGGCAGTCCGAGGTGTAGAAGTAAAACTTGTGAGAGTTTTGGGCTGCAGTAAAGCTTGTAAGTATGGCTACTCCAGTGGAGGCGACGGAAGAGGTTCCCGAGTCCACTCAAGTGGAAAAGGAAAGTGCTTCTTCTCCCGAGGCTTCACCCGAGAAGGATTTGATTAAGTTATTTAACGAGACAATGTCTGCTAATGAGGCAACGTTTGTTGTATTCTACCGAGGACTCTGGTGACCCTACTGTAAAGTAAGATACTCTGAACTGCTGTTTAACGTGTGTACATTGTATGTATGTCCTCTCTCTTACTACTAGGCATATCTGAGGGAGTTCAATGACCTCTACTCAGAGATGCAGGGCAAGGGTGTGGCTTTATTTGCAGTGTGTGCTCAACCTCAGGAGTTTGTCGATCAAATCGAGACAGACCTTGGTCTCACGTTTTCAGTGAGTAAATTGTTCCATTTTCAATTTTTGTGTTTAATTTCTTGGCGTTTATATTGGAGGGGGCATAGGTAGCAGCATGAATGGGCTATGCCCGACCAAAAATTTTGAACGGAAATGAGAATTTAATTAATGACATCATTTTCGGTCATGAAAAATTACCATGGCTATCAAGAGACAGTCTTTTCTGCTTTCTTTTGTCAACAAGCCTTCCAGGAGGACCAGGGCTAGCACTTTACAGGCTGGATAGAGCTTTTCAGATTAAATAGGGCACCTTTTAGGCATATATTTACATGTATGTGTATGCGTGTGTTGAATATACACTCAAAATACACACAAATAAAGTAGATATGGCCAAAATTGTGGTGTGCTTTGTGTACCTTTTTACTTGCCCAACTACTACTACTGTGGGGCTTCCCACTAAATTAAAACCCACTAAATCATGGAAGTGTCATCTCCTTACAGGCTATGTAAATGTTAACCATTGACAACCACATGAAATAATTACGTTGCCTCACATACATGTACATGTAGAATAATTAAACCGCAAATGTTATAGTACCTTATTATAGTGGCTTAATGTGGCTGTGAAATATTTTTTGCTAAATTTCAATTGTAAATACATGTAGCTTGCAAGCTATACGTTTTGTGACAAAAAAGAAAAATTTGCAAAAATATTTTCCCTCAAAAATAAAAAAATAGCTTCAACTTATTGCATCCAAGTGATCCAACACAAAATTAAATTTATAAAGAACATCAGTGGCAATATGAATATGGTTAGGTAAAAGCATGGTAAAAACACGAGAGCATGATTTGAACATCATATCCTTGATAAGTTATCTTTATAGGGACAAGATTAGATAATTGTGTAACATGCATTTATATGATATGGTCGGAAATACATGTACATATGATCCTTCTTTATTGCTTTATTTATTTTTATCTTTCCCTGTTAGTGCTATTCTGATATTACGCACAAATTGAGGAACTATTTAGACACTGAACATTACATTACTGTTAAAGTGTCTGGTGGCGAAGGATCGAATGATTCTAACTTTTACAAAGTTCATCCAGAAATCAAGAAATATAAGTATGGTGTAGTTCAACCAGGTGTGCTTACAACTTTGTTATTATATGAATTTTGTGCTACTTATACATGTACAGTAGATTACATGTATGATACACGCTTTAAAATTATATGTTTCTTTTAGCTGTTCTCTGTATAACTAAAGAGAAGAAAGTTTTATTTGCCTGGGCCATCGATCCAAGTGCTGTAAGTGACTTAATTAGAATTATTCATTATTAATATCTCTACAAGTTTATTATATGATAATACATGTAATTGGCACTTGGCAGCTTCTCCAGACAGTGGTCTCAAAACACTGACAACAACATCCAAATATACTATACAGTTGTAAATATTGCTTATCAGATTTTAGTAATACACGTAGTAGTACAGTATAAATTTAATGGTGATTGAAAGCAACATGTATACATGTACATATCTTCAAGGCATAGGGCTAATTATTATAGAGGAGGCTTCATTGTGGGATTTAAGAAGGTTGTGAGGTCATGCTTGAGATAGTTTAAAGGGACATATTCACGGAAGCACATCATCTTGAAAAACTGGCCCGCTTTTCAAGATGACATCATTAATGATGACGTTAGTGTTGATAACTATTCATAACGTACGGCCGCGCCCCTAAAAATTTAAGGCAAAATGGCTAGTCGAGTGGTTACTTGTAAATATTCCTGGTGTTTCTTCACTAAAAAGAGTATCTTGGGGTAGCAAAAGAGCTGATTCTGGTCAAGAGAAGTGTTCTACAGATGCCTACTCCTGGTTCTACGCCTGATTGCTCTGTCTCTACTCTCTACACGTGTCTAAACACGTGTTATAACTATTAATTAATGATCTATTGCACGCCCAATTTAATGTTTACTTCCTCTACAGTAACGTGTGCATCTATTTCCGTGAACATGTCCCTTTAAGTGACAGACATTTTATTGATGTACATGTACTACCTCACTGATCTCAAAACTAATAAGCATAAAGCATACCCAGGGTTATTAGATTTTGGTGATTGTAAGACCCACTATGGTTACATTGTATTTTGACAAAAATCACAATCAGAAATTTCTCATTTGTTATAATTATTTTGTAGAAATATTTCAGCTAATTTTTATCAAAATAGATTTTTTTTTAAATGAATTTATAAAGTTGCTCAAAATGCCATGCAATGTATTGTAGTGCTTGTCAGCTCATGAAGCTCATGCTGTTTAACTCACTTTTCATGCTTTGTGGGAAACCTTGAGCATGCATATTTATAGCATACCATACTCAATGTCATTCTTGTTAACTTTTTATTTTACAGATGAATATTGGTGGTGCCTCAGACAGGCCAGTACCTACTGATATATGGCAGGCTGTCATGCAGAAGTTGAATAATCCAACTGATGAGACCCCAATTGATAGCTCTCAATTAAGAGTTCATGGAGCACGATCCATATGTACCATCATATAGATGGAAATAGCTACTGCACTAGTTAGTGTTGTGACTTTCATTTTTCATGTTGCTGTAATACTAGGTTTTTGACTGACTGTCATGTGTTTCATTTTAATTATTATTTATAATCTTTCTGTTACATGGAGTGAGTTGTGAAGAGGTGTCAATAAATTAGTTGCTATTGCACTGAGTGTCATCTCTGATGCTTTATTACTTCACTTTATGCTAACTTGAAAGATTTTTTCTGAAATATACAATTATAATAAATTTTTTGAAACATAATTATAATAACTATTCGAGACTAAAATTAATTTTAGTTAGTCTTGGCAAAATTTTGATCTTAAAATTCAAACTTGCATACAAAGTTACAAACCATACCCAAAGCAATTGACTATTGCTATAACTACAGTTACTACATGGATAAGATGATTCTAAAAATGATGTTAACAATAATACAACTGTTAAATGTTTCAAATATATAATTCTTCATCATCCATTGTTAAGCTATCATACCTACCATTTTCTTCATGATCTTGTTGATTCACTTGACTGACGTAGCTCTCATTATCTTTACAGGCGTCTGCATCATTATTGCTAGGTGTATGTAAGTTTGTGTTCATTACTCCTAATAATTCTTCATACTGGTCTCCAGGTATTCTATCATATATGTGAGAAGTTGATGCATTAATGTATGATGGATTAGGCTGGTTAGTGTTCTCCTCATACACTATATTGGCAAACATTGTAATTTCTGTATTATCTGCTAGCCTATAAGTATAATGTACATAATGTTAGTTAAGATTTCAACCTATATATATATATTAACTTACTTTTCTTCTTTTGGTCTCTTTTTTAAAATAAAAATGACAATTATCAATATCACTGCTACAATCAACACTACAATGATGACACTAGCTGCTATAGATCCTCCAACAACGGCTCCAATTGAAGTAGTAATAATAGTGGTAGTACTAATAGTGGTACTAGTAGTGGTATTACTAGTATATGCTAGTGTCCATTCAGGGCTTCCAGTACCATTTGGTGGAAACACTAGATTTCTTCCCACTCTAATTCTTAGTGCTAATGTGGTACCTGATGGCTTATTTGGTGCTATACAGTTAATCTCCTACAATGTAGTATATAGGCATTGTTAATACAGGAATCACTTACACTATCAGAGCTCGTTCGAATACTACACACATCATTTCCCAATGTAATATTAATCTCTGACTGACTAACAGATCTTATGTTCATGCCCTACAAAGGATAGTCAGTTAACACAAATTTTAGTAAAATACATGTACATATAGCATTAAAATATGTACTATCTTTAAACTCACTGCAATGAAAATATTAATCTGACCACCATTAACTGATATAGATCTTGAATTAACATCAATACCAGTGAATATCGGGTTAGGTTGCAGTGTCAGTCTCAGATCATTATTCATGTAATTAGGTGATTCTGCTCCGTGTAACATCAGCACATACTCAATATACGTACCATAGTAACTGCTTTCTGTCACATTGGTAATGTTAGGAGCATTACATATCAGCATAGTACTATCATCATTAATGACACATGGCTATATTGAAAATGTGGTACTTTATACAACAAGAATACTATACTGACTTCAACACTACTAGGAATCAGTCTACTATCAGTAATAGTAATAGTAGGAGACGGAACTGAATTTAAGTTAGCACCAGAGAATACTAGTTGAATACCACCACTAAAGTATAAGAGTATTAAGAGTGTGCATGTATCTACTAGACTAGTATATACTTACGCTGGTATTGTGATCATAGGACTGACACTATGAAATATAGGATTTGGTCTATATTGATAGCTTAAACTACTATTAAAGAATGTAGCTCCATTTACTGATACTATTACATTTCTCACACAGTCAGTATCATTAGTACTACCAGTAACACAACTGATCTCAGTATTAGTAATATTCCTATAATGTTCACAATGATTATGTAATATTCATTATTACTTACATTATAGTACAGTTAACATCAGGACATGTGTTTCTCTTCTTTCTTGATGATGATTGTCTCATTATTACTCTAGTCATTTCTTTATTACCAATATCAAAGTTAGTACCTTGTACTCTTACTCTAGTACCACCATTAATAGGACCATATGTAGGACTCACTGACAGAATGATTGGTGTTATAAACTGGTACTGTGTTGAACTATTGGCACTCACACTACCACTGGACCTGGTCACTATTATTGTAACAGTCTCATTCCTGTCTGCATTATCACTAGTATCAGGATCAATGGTGCATTTTATCCATACTCCTGGTTCATATTCATCAACAATACAGTTTCTACTACCAATCATAACAGACTCTATGTCAGAGCGTTGTGTTCCCAGATTAGTTCCATTAATAATGACAGTTGTTCCACCTCTAGGAGGTCCTGCCTTAGGATTAAAGTCAGTAATCATTGGTAGGGGACAGTTTCCTGTACTAATGACGGGATTAGCATCATTACAATCACTAATGTCCCTACATTGAGCATTACACCAATTACAGTTGAATCCAGAGTCAATTCTCTGTGCTAAACAAGATGAGCAACCAACAGCTAAGGTATGACAGTCATATAGGATCACTGTATGAAATAACAGAAAATGATTACTCATTGATTTATTATTTCAGTTACCATTAATATTTGAAGTAGCATTAGTCTCTATTGTATATGTCCTTCCATTGTAAACTTGTCTTAGACTCAATGAGACATTTTGAGTACCACCTCCTCCTTCAATTGTTACCTATCAAACAATTTTTAGATAATCATCACTTTACCGTACGTTACTCACCAGAGGATCATTATTACATGTCACCATATTGTCATTGTTAACAGTAGCAGTTCGAGTAACAGCACCATATACACACTCATAACTGAGACCAGGAAAAAACTGTGATATTGAATAGTGAGTATTGTTACAATAATATTGGGAGAATTATTATTATTATCATTAGTATGTAATTGTAACTTACCACAGTATTGATTGTAGATATAGTCAAATTCTTAGTAACATTAGCTGGTTGAGTATATTTTCCATCAGATGTATCAGAGTTAGGTTGTAAATAAGGACAAGTGTTAGTAGTATCTGTACCTTGATTCTGTACCTATAAACAAGACTCTTGTAAATAATTAAGGCTCAATGGCATAAAATATGTTTCCTAAAATTTTTTTAATTGGTATACATCAGCAATGTCTTTTGACTTTATAGGGTTTTCTTGTGCTGGCCCACAGGGGCAAATTTGTTTACACAAGCAGACATAAAAACAAATCTAGGATGAGGGTAAGTGCATATCACATTTTAAATGGATTTTTTTATTTTATATTGTGTGCATACACATACAGTGCTGCTTCACATCCAAGTGTTGTAATAGCTATGATGTAATATGCATGTATACAATTCCTGAAGTGGGCTTTATGATTGTAATATAATGTTGTCAGTGCATGTTTGATTATAGATACATAATTTCATTGCAGCTCAATTTTCAATTGTAGACTTTCAATGTAGAGCCAATTATTATCTCTTTCTGTGTATTAAGTATTCAATTTATTGTTATGACATTGTCCAATGGATTTTTGGTGCAATTTTTACTCTCTAATAGGAACAGTAGAGCCCAATGACTTTATTTTTGTACCTATTAATTTTACTGTTGGTTTCTTAGTATGAATATCATAGCAGCAAATTTGAAGAAAGTTAGCTAAATTTGGCAAATTTGGTGTTTTGATAATCATCTGCTAAACTGAATATTCACAGTTGAGCCATTATGCCCATACTCAATGGCACACGGTCACAAATTCTCCAAATTAAAACTCCCCAACCACCAACAGTTAATCGTTTGCCAAAATTTACTCCCTCCAAAATTTCTGCTGTACACTAGTTTGTGGGTTAAGTACATATTAGTTAAACAAGAATTAGGCTGTTTTCAATTACAACTCCTACAATAGAAAACAACTTTCAATATACTCTCTGAACTTAATGCTAGCACTATAGTACTGTAGCTCTACAGTGTATATACAGCTAAATTTTAACCTAGAAAAGTCACACACATATTTCATACTTTAGTTGGGATTTTGGACATGCATGCATTAATTTGGTTTGGGAGTTTGACACCCATTTGTTGTATTATTATGTTTAACTGATATCATAAATCTATAAACATGTTTGTAGTATCCAGGGTATATAGTTTTATAGGTGAAGTTAAGTAAATTATAAAAGTAAACATTAAACAAATTGTTATTACTGTGTATTGGGAAATTTACTTATCACTTTAATTTTGTAAACAAATTCACAAAAAATTAATACCACAAGCATTTCCCAATACACTTGTATTATAGAACAATATAAAGGGTTTGGATCTGGTGAGTGAAGATTTTGTTGACATAGGGGTTCAGTTAAACCACACTAACTATACTGGTAGGTATATAAACTAGGTATGACCCTAGACCTCAACCACAAACAATATATATGAAAACTGGGCAACAAAGACTGCAAAGTATACTGTAAATGACAAAAGGAATAACTTACATTGAGCCATTGACCATTAGTACATGATGAGTTCTGCCCAGTACATGTAAAGTCTAACTGGCACCAACCACAAAGAAAACTGACAACACATTCAGAGCAACTTGTTGCAGTTGAGCAATCCAATGAAGCTTTTACTTTAACAACCTGTTAATTAATGTTAACTGACAGTTAATGTATGATCACTCACATGCGTTGGTGAGAGAGCATATAAATATTCACCGTCTGGGGAAAATTTAATCTTATTCACTTGTTCATTAGTCTTTGTAGTGATGTTGCGAATTGAAACTAACAAATTGTCAGCTGTGAAATAGTACTACATGTATAATGATGATAGACTACAAATAATTATTTTGTTAAAATCAATACTTTGTTACTTACCTGTTCAATTGTTTGATGAGACCCAGCATATAGATACACAGTGTCTTCATATGCAAGACTATTAAGTGCAGATACTTCAGATGTGAAAGCAACTCTGACTCCGAATGTAGGACTATCTACTTCAAATGGAACAATAAATTGTCCTAGTCTATTGCATGCCATAATTGCCTATTAAAATGTACAATGATCCATTATTATAAAGTTGTATTGATTATTTTTCTTACACTTTTCATATCTTGATCTAAATTACTCGGACATGAACTACTGCCACTATTTCTTTTTAAGGACAATGTTCCCTGCCCATTTTTACATGAGGATAACTTATCATTCATTTTTCTATTAATTTCTGATACATTGAATGCACATAAGATATTAGTACTGCCACTCTTCATTGATACCATAATCATTGATTCTCCATTGATATACTGTACAAAGGTAGCTGCTGTAATTGAATCAGGATTTATCATTTCATTACACTGTAATTCTGCCTCAGTGTATGTTTTAAGTGTTGACATACTAAGCTGCTCAATTCCAGTATCGTTGCTACATATTCTTGCTACTTGTACTTTGGAGCCATAATCAGCTAGGACAAATACATAATATACAAATTCATTATGCTGAAAATTATTTAAAAATTTTCTAGTAAGCTTAATATTATGTTCTTGTTGACTTCCAACCAGTACAATTTGTAGCTGAGAGCCAGAGGATGAATACTGTAGTTTACTGATTGATGAAGCAATAGGTGAAGCAGCATCTTTACCAACAAAAAATTTTCTGTCTTCAGTATAAAGCCCTGGCATGTCAGGTGTTGTTGGGAATAGGAATGATGAAGGAGTAGGGCTTGCAGAAACACTGACTGTGTTAGTGAGGTCATTAGGATTGAGAAGAAAACACTCCTGCTCCTGACAAGAGAGAACATTCTGACTGAGTCCAGTATCATTGAGGAGCAACAATAGTTGATTAGTAGTAGTGTTCAATGGAAGAGATGAGTTTACTGTTAAACTGTCAGAGTTTAACTTTATAATGTGACTGGCTGTACCAATCAAGAGGGATCCATCACTCAGTACAAGGCAAGTAGAGAGAGTATCATTTTGTAGTTGATACTGCAAGACAGCATTACTTGATCCTAGTATACTCAGAAAGAATAGGAGAAGAGAAGAGACCATCATACTGATTTGCACTTGAAAATTAAATATTTTCTAATGATTATCATCAAGAGTACATGTAATTGTGATATCATTAAAATCATTAAGACTCTTGTGATATTATTAGAGTCAAGTTATTGTATTAAATTAATTAATTAGCATGAATTGCTATTGGTTTTGAGTGACACAGAAATCACTGATTCATTTTATCGCTGATCTCAAATCAAGTGAAGTTGCTAATTATCACTCAATACTAGAGTCAATCCAGTCTTTAGTATAAGACTTAAGTCACGTGACATGGTGGGTGACATCATGTCATAGTCACTTGGCTTTGACTCTTTTCTCTCCAGTGTATAAGGTGCCTGATAGTGTTATGAAGTTGCAAAAGCATTGGTTGAGCATGAGGAAAGTAACTTGGACAGTTCAATTATTTAATAGTTGAAGTACATTTACAGTCAACTGACCAATTTTTTATGGCTGAGGATGAAGAGGGAAATGATTAATTTAACTTTTAAGGTACATGTCATGGTAATCTAGCTACTCAACAAAATAATTAATTTTTGAACTAAACTAGAAATTTATGGGCATACAAAGGAAATGTTACATATTAAATGCAGCGAGAAATTGTTATGTAATAGCAATAAAAATAATGGCCTACTGAAAAGAATTTTTCAATTAGCATCACCATCTACTTTTGAGATATTTTCGTAGCTTCCTTTATCTTCTGAACTTTGAGCAATATCATCAATCACTCCTGTATCAACATGACCTTCATTATCTTCATTATTAGCTTTCTTTACAAATAAAAATTCTTCATTCTTGCTTGCAGGTATTTCATGAATATCTGATGCTTTAATGTATGCTGGGTTAGACTGGGGAAAGAGATTGTTATCTTGGCTAGTGATGCCCTGATAGATGTTCATAGAAATTGGGATTGCTAAATTACCTCTGTGAGATATTGGCCTATTATATTCAAAAGTAGATTGTATATGCACAGCTTATAAATATGTAATCTATAATATCTTACTTTTCTTTGCTGTCTTTTGCCCTCTTTTGTAAAATGAAAATGACAATTATCAATGGTATTGCTACAATCAATAGTGTAATAATGATACTAGCTGCTATAGATCCTCCAACAATGGCTCCAATTGAAGTAGAACTTGGAGCACTAGTGCTGGTACTAGTAGGGCCAGTAGTAGTAGTAATAGTAGTAATAATAGTACTAGTAGATCCAGTGCTAGTAATAGACTCAGTACTAGTGTTGGCATATTCTAGTGTCCATTCAGGGCCAGTGATACCATTGGATGGAAACACTAGATTCCTTCCCACTCTAACCTGTAGATGCATATTAATGAAACTGCATATGCAATAAAGAATATTCTTACTCTTAGTGCTAATGTGGTACCTGATGGCTTGTTGGGTGGCCTACAGGTAATCTCCTATTTATAAGGTTTTTGATATTAGTATTATATGCAGAAACCACTTACAGTTTTAGAGCTTGTTCTGATACTACACACATCATCAGAATTGTCTCCTAACATAATATTAATCTCTGATGGGTTAACTGATTCAACATTCATTCCCTATATTTAACAAAGACATCAGTTTTTAGTCTTTATATATCTTATAACTTACCCTAATAGTAATGTCATTAATATCATCCACTGATATAGATCTTGAGTCAGCATCAATACCAGTAAATATTGGATTACGTTGCAGTTTTAGTCTCAGAGCTGCATTCATGTAATTAGGTGACTCTGCTCCATCTAACATCAGCATGTACTCAATAGATGTTCCATAACTGCTGTCGGCCACATTAGTAATATTAGGAGCATTGCATATGAGTGTAGTATTATCATTAGTGACACAAGGCTGTATAAAGAGATACATATGCTAAAGAATAGGATTACTATACCGACCTCAACACTACTAGAAATCAGTCTACTATCATTGATAGTAATAGTAGGAGATTGAACTGAATTTAAGTTAGCACCAGTGAATACTAGTTGAATGCCACCACTAAAGAATAAGAGTATATATAATATAAATAAAGAGTATTTACCTACCAGAATTATACTTACGCTGGTATTATGATCATAGGACTGATACTATCAAATGTAGGATCTGGTCTATATTGATAGCTTATACTAGTATTAGAGAATGAAGCTCCATTGACTGATACTATTACATTCCTTACACAGTCAGTATCATCAATACTACTAGTAATACAGTTGATCTCAGTATTAGTAATATTCCTATTAATGTTCACAATAATCATAATAATACAATTACTTACGTGATATTACAGTTAACATCAGGACATGTGTTTCTCTTCTTTCTTGATGATGATTGTCTCATTATTACTCTAGTCATTTTTTTATTACCAATATCAAAGTTAGTACCTTGTACTCTTATTCTAGTACCACCACTAACAGGACCATATGTAGGACTCACTGATTGAATGATTGGTGTTATGAACTGGTACTGTGTTGTACTATTGACACTCACACTACCACTGGATCTGGTCACTCTTATCATGATAGTCTCATTCCTGTCTGCAGTATCACTAGTATCAGGATCAATAGTACATGTTATCCATACTCCTGGTTCATATTCATCAACAATACAGTTTCTAGTACCAATTATAACAGACTCTATGTCAGAGCGTTGTGTACCCAGATTAGTTCCATTAATAATGATGGTTGTTCCACCTCTGGGGGGACCAGCCTTAGGATTAAAGTCAGTAATCATTGGTAGAGGGCAGTTTCCTGTACTAATGACAGCACTAGCATCATTACAATCACTAATGTCTCTACATTGATTATTACTATTACACCAACTGCAGCTAAATCCAGTATCAATTCTCTGTGCTAAGCATGATGAGCAACCAAGGGCCAATGTAGGACAATCATACAAAATAACTGCACAATATACAATATAATTAAAACACTATGATTTAATATTTATTATAATTACCATTGAGATTTGCTGTAGCATTAGTCTCTATTGTATATCTATTTTCATTGTAAACTTGTCTGAGACTTAATGAGACATTCTGAGTACTACCTCCTCCTCCAATTGTCAACTATTAAACAAGTATTAATTATTACTAAATATTCTACTGTTACTCACCACAGGATTATTATTACATGTCACTTTATTGTCATGACTAACAGTAGCAGTTCTAGTATCAGTACCATACACACACTCATAAGTGAGACCAGGTGAAGACTATAAAATTAATGACAATCCATAATTAATGCTGTTACAGTTACAGCACATACCCCAGTATTACTAGTTGATAATGTTAAATTCTTAGTAACATTAGCTGCTTGAGTATATCTACCATCAAATGTAACAGAATTAGGCTCTAAGAAAGGACAGAAACTACTAGCACTACCACCATCTTTTATCTAAAAAGAATACCAGCACATCATGCCACGAAAGGCTATGCAGTTCTTACATTGAACCATTCACCAGTAGTACATGATGAGTTTTGTCCAGTACATGTAAAGTCCAATTGACACCAACCACATGTTTCACTTTGAAGACATGCACTACACCTAATGAAAAGAATGAAATCCTTGAAAATGCTGTATCTGCACCCAAACACAAGTAAACTGACTGCTGCTCCATTTAAAAGTGGTATGTTGTTCATGCACCACTTTCAGTTGTGATGCAGACACAACTAAAACTGCTTTACAACTCAAAAACTGCCTATGCCCTAATGTACAATATTGTTTGGACAACACTCGAGCATAGATTGTTTCATAATTCACAAAATTAAATATTCAATAGCAGTCACATTTATAGTATCTTGCTAGTGCTACCTCTGAGTGTATACACACATTCATCAACTCACTTTGATGCTGTAGGACAACTGTAGAAAGTATAACTAGTAGGCCTTGTATAGAAATTTACACCAGTTCTATTACTGTATATACTAAAAGTAGTGTCTGAAGAGAAATATCAGTTAAAAAGTACATGAAAGGAGTAACAATAAAGATTAATACTGTATAAAAGTTATTACCTAGTTGCATGCCAGTGACCTGAGACACTATGTCTTGTACTGAACAGCTACCAGCATTAGTACCCATTGATAGTTCCAATGGACTCATGATACCATTAAAAACACAAAAATATTCTTCCCCTGGTAATTTAGAAGGAGGAGGAGCTGGTAAAAATGTCAGATCAATCTAAGAGAGAAAGAACTCAATGTCACACCATTGCTAATGATACATACCTGATGAGGTTGTTGCTCAATATCTATTACATAAGTACTTGGATCAATAGATAATGCGTCAAAGCAATAACTACTGTCTCCTTGTGTTAGGTATCGTCCTGTTTGATCATTATCCTGACAGAATGGTTTACGGGAACACTTGTTCTCTATCATACACCAACCACATAATGGATCACCTAAACTAACACACTCAGAGCAACTAGTGGCACTGGAACAACCCTCTGTCTTTAATGCAATCACCTAATGCAGTATGTATAGTAACTTATTATTAATATTCTGATGATTCTGGTATAGTAATTAGTAATGGGGAATTATTTGTGATACCATACAATGGTCTGACTCGTTATCTAATCGTAGTAGCATTTTTATGTCTAACCCATATACTTGACATCACTTATGAGTCATTACTTAGTTATGTATATGCATGAACTCTACATCAACAACACTAGTATACTACTAATCATTATATATACTTACATTAGTACCACTAATACCATACACATACTCTGAACCTTGAGACCAGGATAATGATGTCACTGTAGAGGTTGATGTAACTTGAGATATAAATTTAAGGGTTGTACTATTGACCAAGTGATACTGTAGGATTTTTATCAAACTGTATAAAGACTGTAACACAACTACTAACCTTATTGATGCAATAATTATTGCTATTTAATGTAAGTGCAAAGTAAATAAAATTAGTGTCATCAATGGACACTCCAACAATAGCAGTTAATCCATTCAGTATAGTAGTGTTAGTAATTAGACCAGTGGGAGTGAGGGGGTTTGATGCACCAACTGCTGGAGCAGGAGTACCACTTCTTGAATCAGATATACTACACTGTTAGGGAGATTATAATTATATCAAGTACCGTATAGATTAAAACTCACTATGCTTCCAGATAATCCTACTGAACATGATACAGAATTCTGCCAAAAGATATTTTTATTACCATTACCATCAACTACACACGATTGATAAGCAGCATCCATTAAGGAGTTAATCTCAGGCAGACTGTATGAACATACATCAACCACTGAACCAAAACGTATTGCAATGAACAATGTCTTTCCATTAATAACAAATACATCAATCAGAGTAGGATTAAAGAAACCGTTATTACCATCACAACCTAAAGTCAGCTCATATTGATTGTTGAAGCCATCAGCTGTACTGTCATTACATACTCTTATTATACGAAGCCGTCTGTTAACACCACTTGTTGAAGGATCACTCACAAGATAGTAAGCATATCCTGAAGCAAAGAAACCACTCACAAATACACGATTAAAACCTGAAGTTTGTTGATGTACAGGATTAGTAGCTCTTGATAGTGTGCTACCAGCAAACCCATACTGATGATATAGAATATGACTATTAACAAAGCTCCCAGTGTAAAAGCTGTTGCCATCTCCTCCAGTGAACACTGCTAGACTAATTGCAATCCCACTTTTAGTCACTGTTCTATTAGCAGGAGCTTCAAGATTAGATCCATTAAGAACAGAACATGTTTCACCTCCAGCATCAGTACACACTACACACCACTCACCATCAGGTGTACTAGCCATTCCAGTAACAGTACCACCAGGAGTGTCAGGAGAGCCCTCTGATTGTTGTAGAGTAGGAGAGAAATGGTGTACTTGATTGGCAGTGCTCACAAAGACTCCATTAGCACTAACAGCAACATGAGTCACTGTACTGGATAGAGATGAAGAGATGAGTGGCTGAGAATTAACCAAAGGAGGAGGAACAGCTAGTGTGAGAAAGAGGAGAAAAGTTGCTGCTGCTTTCATGATATGAAGAATAGCTCATTGCATAGCACAGGCAATGAATATCATTAGCATACCTCACAATAATTACAACCCAGCCAGGCCGAAATTTCTCTCAAAAAGTGACCAAATTGTGCTGATAATGTGCACAACATAAGTTGTTATGCAAGTCTAGTTTCATAGCAAGTAGTTTCATTCCAAGTGTCCTAGTACAGGTTCATTATCAGTTTTTTATTATCAAAGTAAAAGTTTTAATTCATTATATATATACTATCTATATCCCAGTTGAGTTTCGAACAAGAAAAACTGGAATAACTTTTTATAGAAAGGTGGGCTGCAGGTGGAAAAGGTTAGAGATCTGTACACTAAAACTCTTAGTCACATGATCACTAAAAAGTAATCACCTATTAGTATGTACACATATACTACTTATTGTTTGTTTACTGTAGGAATTCAAATGTACCCAATCTGTTCTTTACTACTCTCTCTGATCAATTTCCAGTATGGCTGTTTTGTTGCTTTTTAAATATTAACTCTTGTTAGGATATTAGTTAAATGCTTCTACCTAATTCTGTTAATGATATACAAACTCCAGGAAACCATTTCAGATTGGTAAGAGTTCTAAATATCTAGCTCTTACATGTGTACGTTTATCTCTTCATTCAGAAGTTAGGATATGGTTTAAGTAGTAGTAGATCTATATTGTGTTTCTCAAAAAAACAGGTGGTTTTTATAACGTGAATTACTATACGCTTGCCTTCGGTTTTGAGTGACATGGAAATCATTGATCCATTGATATTGTGTTTTATCACTGATCTCAAATCAAGTAAAGTTGCTAATCATCGTCCAATACTGGAGTCAATCAAGTCTTTAGTTATGAACCTCAAGTCACATGACATGGTGGGTCACATCATGTGATAGTCACTTGACAGCATAAATTCTGCCTCTTTTCTCTCCAGTGCAAAGGCGACAGTGTTATGAAGTTGCATAAAGCATTGGTTAAGCTTGAGGAAAGCAATCCAAGAAAGACTGGACAGTTGACTCTAAATATACTTCAATTATTACCTGAGGATGAAGAGGAAAATGACTAGTAGGCACATGTCATGTGTAATACAGTATGTAATCTAGTATTAACTTACTTTTCTTTGCCGTCTTTTGCCCTCTTTCTTAAAATTAAAATGACAATTATCAATGGTATTGCTACAATTAATAGTGTAATAATGATGCTAGCTATACTACAAATCCTCCAACAATGGCTCCAATTGAAGTAGACCCAGTACTAGTACATACAAATGTCCATTCAGGGCCAGTGATACCAATAAATGGAAACACTAGATTCCTTCCTACTCTAACCTGTAGATGCATATAACGAGACTGTGCATATCAATGAAGAATATTCTTATTTTTAGTGCTAATGTGGTACCTGATGGCTTGTTGAGTGGCCTACAGGTAATCTCCTGTTTATAAGGTTTTATCATAGTATTATGAATTATGCAGAAACCACTTACAGTATTAGAAGTTGTTCTAACAGTACAAATATCATCATCATTGTCTCTTAGTGTAATATTAATCTCTGATGGGCTAACTGATCCAACATTCATTCCCTATATTTAACAAAGCAGTTTAGTTTATACATTCAACTACAACTCACTAGAATAGTAATGTCATTAATATCAACCACTGATATAGATCTTGAGTTAGCATCAATACCAGTAAATATTGGATCAGGTTGCAGTGTTAGTCTCAGACCTGCATTCATGAAATTAGGTGACTCTGCTCCATCTAACATTAGCTTGTACTCAATACGTTCACCATAGTAACTGCTGTCAGCCACATTAGTAATATTAGGAGCATTACATATGAGTATAATATTATCATTAGCGAGACATGGCTGTATAAAGAGATGCATTACTATATAATAAGAATACTATACTGACCTCAACACTATTAGGAATCAGTGTAGTATCATTGACAGTAATAGTAGGAGATTGAACTGAGTTTAAGTCATCACCAGTAAATATTAGCTGAATACTACCACTAAAGAATAAGAGTATAATATAAAGAGTATTTATCTATCATTAACGCGGTAGCATAACTGGCACACCAGCCTGAATCATGTGATAACAATGGGTGGGGCTCATTATTTTTGCAAATCTCAAAGTGCAAAATATGAATTTCTTCAGTGTTTTACTGTGTTTAGATATTAATACTTTAAGTACGTAAAAACAAGACAAATATTTATGGCTCTGTGAAGGAATCTCTCCTGTTCTTCAATATCCCTCCCTCTCTCTCTCATCATTACAGAAATGAAGAGAAAGAGAACTAAATGAAATTAAAACTTTGCAATGAACTATAATACATAGTTACAACAATGCATAGTTAACAACAATGCAATACAATACATGGTATTGTATTGTACATCGATACAACAACAACAACAGTACATCAATACAAAAACAATACATAGTTAACAATATAACTTACATACTCAATTACCTTTAATAGTTACAACAATAGTTCCAACAATACATTGTTAGAACTATTAAGGAACTTTAGTAAATCCTTACTATGCATCATTTGGTTTCCTAAATAAAAAATTATTGAGACAACTTGAAAACAATTAAATACCAAGCAGAACATGCATACACGTAGATCTATAGTCTAATACTACTTCTATTTTATTGTCTTCTTTGGTTTAAAAATTAAAAATAATTATTGTTCTTAGTAATGTTCATGCAATTCATTGCAGGGTTTCCCACAGGATTTTTAATAGTGCTATTACCACAGTAAATTTTAGAAATTTGACAAAATTAATACTATGCACGGTATTTTTCTAGGAGATAATTTTTCACTTCATGTACATGTATTTACATGTATATGTTGTGTAGCCATGTGTAATTTGGATCAAAATTAAATTTTCAAATTTGTTTAAAAATTAGGTCAAAGTCCTTGTGCTATGAATCCCACTTAGTAATGCTACCACGTTACATTATGTACATAATGTACATAAGAGACTCAGTGTATC